AATTTATAAATCTATTTTTATCCAAGTGGCATTGAATAAAAAATTCTTTCTCTTAATAATTCATTGTATTATTTCTAATAATATTAGTTTCATTTATTTTACTAAATTAATATGTTTCAATAGAGTTTTAAAAATATTGTTATATATTTTTTATAATATTTTTATTATAGTGTTTATTATTATATAATTATTATTAATTATTATATTATTATATAATTATTCTAGTGTTTAAGTAATGAAATATAAATTCATTATTACTCATTGTAACCATATTTTGTTTATTATTATATAGTTATATTTATTTTTATAAAATTTTTCTTTGCAACATTCATCATATAAGTGAATGCTATGCTATAATATTGAAAACTTCAAACAAATGGACAATTTAATGTATCTTTTCAGATAATAACAAGAATATTTTTGTTAAATGATTTTGAATATAAAATTAATTATTTTCATGTTTTGTAACGAAAAATAATTTTAACATGATGTTTTCATATTTTATTATTTATAAAAATATATTAAAATAAAACTTGATAAATAAATTTTTGTTAATATTCTTATCTTATTAAGCTTAGCTAAGAATTCTGTCAATATATTTGTAATACACTATAATATGTATAATTTCATTATGAATAACTATATGTTAAATAAAAAATAATTAAATAGAAATATAATTTACAATTTATAACAAATAATAAATTGGCAAAAAAAAAAAGCAAAATAGAAACAAATATTAAAGGAAAATTAAATATTAAATTAATAGATAACTTAACCTCAATAGAAAATGTAATGATATATAAATAATTACCTAAACCAAGCATCTGTATTTCAATTTTACAAGATACCCGTTCTTCAGTAGATAAAATATCATTTAATGCAAAATAATTCGGTGTATAACTTTGACAATATGCCATTTTATAAAAATAACAAATACAAGCGTAAACAATGAAATTATCTAAAATTTAAATATATTCAATATAGCCAATAATTTATTCTAAAAATCACTGATTTTGCATAGGGACTTAGGGAAAAATAAAAGATTTCTATTATTATAATTATATTTAAATATAAAAATATATATTTTTTTAAATTCTATATAATCGATTTCTCTTTTATTGAAATAATTTTTTTATATTTTTAATAAATTTGAATTTTATTGTACTTAAAAATGTTAATTAATTGTTTTTATAATATATTTATTATATAATATATTTAATATATTTATATATATTATATAATATATTTAATATGGATGATGTGAACGTACGCGTCATAGGAATTTCCTATTCTATGAGTTGCATATGGCATATGGTTGCGTCATAAATTTTTCTAAAAAATGAATAATTTTTTACATATCTGGCTTTTTTTTTATATATGCGTTCAATATAAGTGTTGTTATTAGTATATAGTTATTTTGGATTTTGTTGCATTTTTTGTTGTTTTATAATTATTTATTATATTTACTAAAAATCAATATTCGTCTTCAATTTTTGATACCATATCAAACATATTAACATTTAATGACATAAACATATACATTGAGATTTTCTCTTATAGCGGTGGCGTGAACGGCCACGTCATAAACTCTTTTAAAAAATATTCCAAATAAATAACTTTCAGGTATTTGTTTTTTTGTTATATTTAATATGAATGTTCTTATTACATATACAATTGTTTTCGATTTTATATATTTTTTATAGTTTTACTAGTATTTTATTTATTAAAATCAATAATATTTTTTATATCTTACATTTATTTTTTTATTAATATTTATATTTTATTTATTTATTTTAAAATTAATTTTCCGATTTCCTTATGAATATATTTTCATAATATTTAATTTTACAGTCGTTCAAAAAAGAAAAAGAAGTGACGATGAGGTTGATGTTTCTTTATCAAATTCTCAATCATTGACATTTGATAATACAAAGATAAAAAATGTCAAAAAGTTTCTGTTAGAAAAAACAATAGTGGATATTTTTTTAGACACAGATAGTGATAATAATTCGGATTTTGATTGTTTTATGACAGATGTTTCACAAGAAGAAAGTGAAGAAAATGATCAAGAAATATCTTTCTCTCGATCTACTTCACCTTGGTTTAAATCAGGTACTTCTATGATTATATGGCATTCTGTTCGGCCTATTATTCCAAGCATTTCTTTTATTGGAAATCTTGGCCTTTTGAACATCTATGCCTTCTGAAGAACTAATAGATTTTTTTCGTTTATTAACTAATGATAAATTATTTGATTTAATATTATGCGAAACGAATATGCAAGGGCGTAAATTCTCAACTTATCATAAATCTAGAATAAAAAGTTTTAAAGAAGTAATAAAAGAAGATTTAGAGATTTTTTTAGGATTAATATTTTTATCTGCAAATATTCGAGCTCTCTCTTTTGCCTATTATTGGAAAAAAAATGATTTATATGATTTTCCATCCTTTTCCAATACAATGCCAAGAGATAGATTTCATAATATAATGTGCACTTTATATTTTTCTAAAAATTCTGAAACAGAACAATCCAAGCTATCAGATCCATTATACAAAATTCGGCCACTTCTTGATCATTTTAATAATACAATGCGAGAAATTTATTATCCTCGAAAAAATTTAAGTTGATGAACCTATGTCATTATGGAAAAATAGTTTATAATTTCATCAATATGTAAACAAAAAATCATATAAATTTAGATTAAAATTTTATATGCTGATGGAACCTAATGGACTTGTATTGCGTAATTTAATTTATTGTGGTTCACAAGATCCTGATATTGGAAGAATTGGACATACAGAAAAAATGCTGCTTATGGATTTTTTGGGAAAGAGATATTCAATTTTTTTTTATAAATATTATACATATTATATATTATACAAGCATATCATTAGTTAGAGAATTGTTATATAATAATACTTATTCAACTGGTACATTAAGTTCGAATAGAAAAAGTATCTCTCGATATTATATGAAAAAAAGTTAAAAAAGATGAAGTAGAAGCATGTTATACTCCTGAAGGTATATGTATTCTAAAATGGCATGACAAGCGAGATATAACAATAATTTCATCTGAATATAAACCAGATCTCATAAATCTAACAATAAAGAATGGTAAAAAAATACAAAAACCAGAAATGGTAGATAAATATAATGATTGTATGAGTGGAATTGATCATGCCAATCAATTTTTAACCTATTATCCATGTGAGAAAAAAACAATTCGATGGTATGTGAAAGTAGCTTTGCATATATTTTACGTTATTATGAATAATGCGTATTTGTTACATCGACAGAATGCAAGACAAAAGATGACATTTTTGAAATTTAGAGAAGCGGTCATGAATGAATTTATTTATAAGAATAAGCCCCGTTTACATGCAATCTATTATGAGAAACAATGAGAAACAATGTTCATTTGCCAACAATATCAAGCCAGGGAGGAGAGAAGAAAATACGCAGGTGTAAGATCTGCTATATTAAAGGTATAAGAAAAGAAGGATTATTTTATTGTCCAATGTGTCCAGATAAACCATGTCTCTGTCTTGATAAATATTTTGCGGAATATCATAACTATACATAACTATACATAGTATAAACATGCGTAATATGTTAATTTTATAATATTTCTAAACATTTCCATAATTATATGAATTAAACCTTTGCACTTCAGGCCTGTTTCGATCGGCCGAACTAGCAATTCCAGACTCAGACTCGCGCATTCGGTGCGTTTGGTGACCTCATAAGATTACCATAAGATAATTATTCATAAGATAAAATTACACCTCATAAAATTATATGTAAAGAGCTTAGGAACCTATTTATGAAGCGATATTCTAAAAAAATCAAATATAAATAAATATTGTCGCCGTTCAAGTTGCTACAACAATCCCAGTGGTGTCGCAGAGTCACCGCTGGAATTACGGCATTAACTTAAGTGGTGACCGAGAGTCACCGTTGGAGAGCAAATATTGTTTGGTTAACAAATAAATAAAATATTAATATATATAATATATAAATATATATTAAACATATATTAAATATGAATATGTTAAACAAACAAAACTTCATAATAACAATAATAAATAATAACAAACAATAAATAAATAGTAAATAAATTTAAAAAAATTTTAATTTTAAGAATATAATGTGTAAAATTTGTTTCTTAAAAAAA